CCCTGCAGCCTTCCGCCGGAAGGTCTCGAAGAGCTGCAGGGCCGCGGGGGAAGCCGCGGAGAAGCGCTCGGCCCCGGTCTCTCCAGAAGGCTCACCGCGGTGCTGAGGGAGTAATCCGTAAGCAGCCACGTCAGTCAGCTGTCACCTGGCCCCGTGCCTTAGGCTGTTGCGTAAACAAGTGCCTTCTGCGATACTTGAATCGTATTTACGGCATGAAAGGCCCTGGTGAAGCCGAAGGATCATTAGGAGGAAAGACCGAAATAAAGCACTTGCTTTTGTGCAGCGAGTGCAGTACGTAAACATTCCCTGCAGTGTTATCCGTGCGGCTCCCTGAAAGGCGTTTGGTCTTCGGCAAAGTTTGCGACTACGTGGTCCTACTTCACACATCTTAACGTTTACAGAATTTATTTTGAACAACTCCCCCCGACATCCCTATAAATATCAGTTTCACTTTGCATACTTTTGAGACAACTTAAAAACCACTCATAGTTGCTTTAAGGCTTTAAAAAAAATCTTAAGGGGCTTTCCAAAGTAGTTCCATAGAAAGGCGTCATTAGGTGCTCTATCAGTGCTACACACAGTATCACGGCTTTCTATTTTCACACTATTGTTACGAGAGACCGTTGTTGTCTTTGTTTCTAAGCAAGGAAAAAGTAATGGTTTGCCATATATTCTTGGAACGTGCTCCATGCATGTAGCTGTGGTGACATAACAGCCATGCGGGAGAGGATGAAGAGCGAGCAGCGTGCCTGAGCAGTGACAACACGGAGGTGGGATGTGTTGTCTCACAAGCTAAACTGAAAGGGACGAATGAAACAAAACACAAGATGAGCATTCTAGAAGAGGCTTATCTGGTGCTGCTGCTGTTTTGTCAATATCTCTTTAGCTGAATCTGAATGGGTTGTCAAAAAGAACTGAGAGGAGGGGAAGAAAGTAGTGAGTTAAAGCTATGGCACCAAAGAGGGAGGTTTGTGGGGGGGTTGTGGGTTTATTTTTTTATTTTTTTCTCAGATGTTGTAGGGCTGGTTTTGCAAGTTGGACAGGCTGCTTTCCTGGGGCTCTAAGCAGCACCAGTGTTATTTATGGTGTGAGTCACTGCGTGGTCTCTGATAGGAGAGTGTTTTCCTGTCTGGCCTCTACACACATACACACACAATATTATCCTAGAGAGTTGGGTCTATCAGAAAAGTCTTCAAAGAGAAACTGAGTTCTGACATCAGTTTTGCAACAGAACTAATCACTTTAGTACCCACATGGCTGTTTTTCTTCCCTTTTTTAATATTTTGTATCATGCAGAACTGGCTACACAGTACCATGCACTCACATAATTATATTTTTTTTTAAATCTTTTGAATGTAGTCAGGATTCACTATGGGCATTGACTGTGGTATGAGACTATGTTTTCTTCCTTTCTGTTTCAAGGAAATGATTTATTTTCTTTTTGTGCCTGCAAGTTTATGGAGATGACTGGACATGGGGAATAAGCTTCTTGAAGAAGGTGCTTCCTATTACGGGGTTAGATAGCGTGTGGTAGAGAGACAGGATGCATTTTTCTGTTGGCATACTGTCTTGTACAAATTCTGGTGCTAAGGGATACACAGGGGTCTTTACAATGATGACTAGGCCTGATTCTGCTATTCGAAAAAGTTGAAAAGAAGTTACACTAACAAAGGTTAAGTGGTGATTAATGTCATAATTTAGATACAGACGATGCTGAATGATGACAGTTTTGCATCTCTTGTCTTATGTACTCCTGAACGATCAGATGCACCACGGACATTCAAGGTGTGATGACGAAAAGGAAGAAATAGGAGCCGTTTGATCACAGGAATTGGTACAGGAGCAGGGCATTCTTCCTTTCCACCTCCCACTACCTCAGTAGATCAGAAGAATCCTCAGAGCTGCTGAAAGAGGGTGTATCTCCTGTAAATCTTAACTAAACTGCTACGGGTTTTTTTTAGGTATTGGGCCTGTCTTTGATTATTGTTATACACTGTCCAGCGCAATACTATCTTGAAAGGCTGCAGAAGGCTTTTTAGCTTAAAATGTTTATCCTGCTGCATTTGTGCAGGGCATTAACAATGTTGAATATTAACTACAGTAGCTTCAGGTTGTACTGTGGGTGGAGTTGAGGTAGTTATTTGCAGTGTTACTGCTGCTTCTCTCAGTGAAGCAGTATGTGCAGAGGAAATTGATCTAATAGTTTTTTGACTTTCCCTGCTGGCCATCATTACCCAGTTGTTTTGTGGTTTTTTGAAAGGTTTTGTGGTGTCTGTCTGACACTGACCTTGGCATCCATTTTCTAATCTTAAAGACCATAGCTCTGATTACTCGCAGTACATGCTGCAAGATCCATCTGTCTTTCCGCTAATGATCACTCTTTACTACAGCATTACTCTGGGGTAGGCTAGTTGAGGTCAAACACTCTTGGAGCAAAGTACACTGCCCCTCTACTGTATTTGGGTAACTGCCTGTAACAGTGCTGGGAAAGCTTGCATCCTAGGATGAACTGAAGAAGGAAGAGCCAGGATGGGGTAGGACACACTGTGTTGTTAGTTACTGAATCTTGGAATTTGTTTATGGGTTCTTGCTTTACATAGTATATTCCAGAACAGCTGTTTGTAGCACTGAGCTGAGGAATTTACATTAACTTGTATGAATATACATTTTATGTAAAGTTTATTACATAAGTCAACATGGAAGCTGGAGTAGTTCTAGAGATGAAAGCCAACAGCATTCAATGAGAACATTTAGAACTCCATTGTAATAAGATGGTAAACCACAAAGTGATTCATATTTACACCCAAATGACTGATGTGTTTCTCCATTTCTCTCCCCTCATTAAGTACGCCCCAGATGATGATCCGCATTTCCCTAAATTTCAGAGGTTATTAACTCTGAACCTCAGCTTTACCATAGTGTTGATGTCAGCTACTTCTTCAGCTGGCTGTGTTGGATAAATAACTTGTTTTGGTGGAGACACTGGTCAAGACTGTGGGAAGGCAGTATGAGCAGAGTAGGTGAACACAGAGCTTAAATGCTGAGTCAGTGATTGCGACTTGAAGCTCAGAGGGGAGATACAGATAAACCAGTACCCAGCTGGAAGTATCAGATTGGAGTTTGGTTAGTGTCTGTTCTTGCTGCAACATAGAGTAGCTTGGCAGGCTAAAGTCTACTCTCTAGCCACCCGTTATTCTGGGTTCAGAAGTGCCTTCAGGCCTGGGTTATAGACTTTCATGTAGGGAGAAGAGGACTAAGCATAACATCTATTCTGGACTCTAACCTAAGTCACAGGATAGAGGGGGTTGCGGGAGCAGGGAGAGAGAGGGGGCGTGTTGTGCGTTCAGTTCTTTGTCCGGGAGAGTATGGAAGTTGACTGTCAGTCCTTCCACCTGTGTGGATTCTCTTGCTGGCTACTTGCGTGTTTTCAGATCCATGGTCACTGATCTGAAAAAAGCTAAATGTCTTGATTTCCAAGATGGCCATTTGGAATTGGGCTAAGAGAAAGCTTTTGATTTCGTGTGGTTTAAAGTCCATAGCCATAAAATATGAAAGGGCCATAAATGCTAGCTTTATAGCCATCCATATATGACCAGTATGGACATAAGGAAGACTTGAAGGCTTTGGTTAAAATATTAAATATACTTCTCATTAGAAAGAGATGAGAAAATATCTGTGTAGAAAATGGAATTTAAAGTAATACTGATACAATGTAAGTAAGTGAAGCTCTTCAGCGGACTTGATTTCAGCCTTTAAAGTGTGTATTAGAACCCTGAAAACCTGGTGTCTCCTATAACAGTTTCATGTTGTTAGTCTGCACTGATCTACTCTAACTGCTTTGTAGTCACGTGCTGGAGATCCTGTGGAGTTTTGTTTTTCTGAGAAGTGTAGTTATTCAGAAACGCTGCGTTCAGCCTTGTTGATTTAAGCAGTGTCACCTATGCTTCTGACAAGGAAGTTCATGGATGGCATTGACATTGCATTCATTTACAGCAGAATAGACCACTGAAGTGTGCTCAGTAGTAGGAGTCTCCTTTCAATAGAGTAAATCAAAATACCCATAGGTTCTCACATAATTAGAAACTTCCAGACAGACAGTGAGGCTTCTTTCAAACCCCATCATTACATCTGGTTTGTGAGTGCTTTAATGCTAGCTGAAGCTAGGGATTATTTTCTGTGCCAAGTTAGTAGGTGTAGGTGCGTGTGTTTACTTTAATACGTTCTGAAGTGCTTTTGGCAGGTTGTTAAATGGTTTAATGTTGGGTTATGTGAGCATACAGAGGATGCTGTTTCATTAATGCAGTTGACCTGACAGCATGTATATAATATGCACATGGAATATTTTGTGACTGTATATTTTAAGACTGTGTATGTATGTCTGTATTGCATAACTGTAATTTCTTTGGAGAATATATAGACATACTGTAAGCACTGGATGAGTTGCACTTGTCCTTGGAGGGAAGAGTGGCAAAAGAAAAGAAGAAAGAGCTATTGACTAAACCAGGTAAATGAGTATTAAAGAAAAAGAGAAACTGCTGTGACAGAAACAGAATCTAACTTGTCAGAGTAGTTCTCACACCCAGAAATCCATTTCAAACCATAAGCACAACCAATTATTTGCGTATGAGAGCTAACTACCTGTGGAAAAGCTGGCTAGAAGAATTGGAAGGGAGTAAGTTAACAAACCTTGTTCGGGTCTTTGTAAGGGTTGTTGGTTTTTTGTACCCTTAAGGGAAAACAAGCTGTTAAATAGGCAAAAAGGAAGAAAATACAAATATATTAAAGTTTAAACAATGTAGAAGATATATTAAAAAGCGAGCATTAACAGCAAAAGTTAGCAGCAGGGGGATTTCTTTGATTTAGCTAATAACCTCCCCCTTCTGACTGGGGACTGAGATACCAGAGAAGTTTCTCTTCCAGTCTGTTAGGAGACAGACTCTCACACGTTCTTTGGTGATTTCAAAAATCTGAAAAAAACAGCTTATCCAAATTTTTATTAGGGACAGCTTGTTTTGCTTCTTCAAGTCTGTGTTGCTTTTGAAAATGATACGGTACTTTTTTTTGGTCAAAGGAGTGTAGAAAACCATGGTGAATTATCAACTTGTTTTAGTAATAGTAACATTTAAATATCAGGCATTTTTTCTGAGCAAAATAAACTTAGAAGGTAAACACAAGTCAAGGTTAAAATCTGTAAACCTCCCTGCTTGCTTGCTTTACATCAATCCATCATTTTCTGTTGACTTTCTAAATCAACAGCCTGGTAGAAGGATAGTAGAGTCATAGTTTCTCTCATAGTCAGATGTGCTGAGCCAATGATTAACTACACCACCCCATACTTGGAGTGCCAACATTGAGTGAAAAATACAGGAAATTGCTGAAGGGGAGGAAGAGACTGTGCTGTTTGTGTGCCTGTTAGAAGGAGGAAATTAGAACTTAAAAACTGTCATCTTTCTTCCAGTTGTTACCTTCTGAGCAGATACAAAGTGGTTTCATTGAGTTGCTGTGTAAGATTTGTGGTGACTAGGTTGGAAAGTTCTGGACAGGCTGGAGAGGTGGGCCTGTGTGAACCTCATGAGGTTCAACAAGGCCAAGTGCAAGGTCCTGCACCTGGGTCGGGGTAACACCTGGTATCAATACAGGCTGGGGGAAGAAGGGATCAAGAGGAGCCCTGACGAGAGGGACTTGGGGGTACTGATGGACAAAAAGCTGTACATGAGCTGGCAATGTGTGCTGGCAGCCCCAAAGACCAACCATCTCCTGGGCTGCATCAAGAGAAGCGTGGCCAGCAGGTCGAGGGAGGGGATTCTGCCCCTCTACTCCACTCTGGTGAGACCTCACCTGGAGCACTGCGTCCAGCTCTGGAGCCCTCAGCACAAGAAGGACATGGAATTGTTGGAGCGGGTCCAGAGGAAGGCTACAAAAATGATCCAAGGGCTGGAGCACCTCTGCTCTGAGGACAGGCTGAGAGAGTTGGGCTTGTTCAGCCTGGAGAAGAGAAGGCTGCGGGGAGATCTGATTGTGGCCTTTCAGTACCTAAAGGGGGCCCATAGGAAAGAGGGTTAAAACCTTTTTAGTAGGGCCAGCTGTAGACTGGATATAAGGAAGAAATTCTTTCCAATGAGGGTGGTGAAACACTGGCAGGGGTTGCCCAGAGAGGTGGTGGAGGCCCCATCCCTGGAAACATTCAAGGCCAGGTTGGACGGGGCTCTGAGCAACCTGATCTATTTAGTGGTGTCCCTGCTCCCTGCAGGGGGGTTGGGCTAGATGACCTCTAGGGGTCCCTTCCAACCCAAAACATTCTATGATTCTATGAAAAGTCCAGGCCTCTTTATGTCTGGATCAGGATCTTAAGCTACACATAAATGTGATCTTTATAGCTACAGTCTAATTTGTTGTCAAAAGACTCTCAGGCAGTATTTTGGTTGATGTTCTTAATCTTTGTCTTTGCACTGTATATTTGAAGTGTCAGTGATCACACCAAGAAAACAGAACAGTTCAAATGTGACAGTGTAGAAGTAATCTAAATACACAGACCCACTCTGATAGACATTCATTGCCTTTATGTGGATAATGTGATTGTTGCTGGGCAATTGAATTACATTGGCTTTATTTTACTTTAAAGCTTTTTGTGTGTTACTTATCTTCTAAAGACCTTTTTCAGTGGTGAAACTGTGTTAATATAAAGGGAGGACTAATTTTGCAGTGAGGGCATCAGATAAGATGCAGAGTTTTGTTGTTGGAAGCAAAGGTGAGGAAGTCCCAATAATACAGTCTTTATGCACATGACTAGTCTCTTGGCCTTGCCATTGAGGTGGTATTTTCATGCAAAGATCTGTACTATGAGTAACATAAAATGGCATCTTTGGAATGTGGGATGGCCTGTGTTTTAGTTTGTCTGATAAAAAATAAAAATAAAAAAATCCCAAAACATCACCATATGCCTGTTGTGTGTTGTGGAGCCAGATTATGAGCATATGGGGAGGGTGAAGAGCTTTGTAAAGCTCCGTTAATAATAATTATGCATATTTCCTTGTTCGTAGCAAGTGTTTAGCGGAATTTGTAATAGGCTGCCTGTCTGACAAACTTTGGATTTCTTTCAGACGAGAGGTGAAAGTAGTTCCTATTTCATTCTTCTGCACTGTTTATGCCACATACAGTCCTGAGTATGGCCTCTTGCATTCCAAGTGCCTTACGCATTGCTGAGCCTGTCCCTGCATCACTTGGTAACAGGGCTCCCGTCCGCAGCCGTGATGTCAGGACGTATTATTGGAAATGAGGTAGTTTTCAGCAAGGAAGCTAACTCCCTTTGGAAAGACAACCAGCTGTCTTCAGCTTAAACTACTGCAATCTTTTGAAGTTTATTGCATTCTGCCTCGGCAATACTAAAAATAGTTGGTGAACAAACTACAGACGACAGTGTTTATGTCTTTCTCCCCTCCTGCGTTACTAACTAATGCAAATCAGGACAGCGAGGGGGAGAACTGGGAAGTTTGGGCTAATTTTCAGGTTATTAGAAGCTTATTCAGGCTCTACTACTTGGAGCCTTATTTTGTGCTAGTCAAGCACTGAAAAGAAGGCTTATCTTCAAATTGCATGAATTCTGAAAGAGTGAACAGTCAGTGCTGATGGGTTTCAGCTGGCAGCCCTTTAATGGATATCTGCGAAGAACTTACTAATGATTTTCTTCTCTCAGAAAGTCTCCACGTTAGCCAAATGTTTGTGTTTCTTGGAAAATTGAATTCATAATGAATGGCTGACATCAGAACCACAGCTTTCTGTATTCAATATTCAAGCACTCTGCAAACCCTCATTTCTTTCTTTTTTTTTTTAACATTCTAAGTCTTTATTCGATCATTTGAAAAAAATTTTACTGTTGTTTAACTGAACCAGCCAAAAAGCAACACACCTTCAGTTAACAGCACCATGGGAAAACTCATACTGAATGACTGAAGTTAGTAAAAATGGAAACAATGGAAAACAAGTCCTATAGTATAGTCTCACTCATAAGTAGCATTTCCTCTGCCACATACATTTTTTGGAATAGAATAAGATACTGTATTTCTAAAGCTAGGCTTGTTCTTTTGTCTACTATATTGAAGTAGGACTGTGAAGCAGTGAGAAGCTGTCATGGGTCATAAAACCAGGAAATTACTTCAAAAGCTATGCATAGAATAACTTTCCAGTTTATTTGTAAAAGAATAACATAAACTCTAATCCCAATTAATGCAGAATATGTTCCAGTGAACTTTTAGGTACTTAAGAAGTAGATGTGTTTTATAATGTTAATAATGTAATTTTTGATGCTAGCAATTTTCAAGTTGTCTTAACAAAACCACAACAATTTTTTTGGCTATAGGCATTTTTCTAAATTGTGAAATTTCTATTTTTAAAGTTCTGAATGAATAGACATAACTGTGTGATAGATAAAGTTACTGCTGACGTTTTTAGATAGAGAAGAAATAAAAGTAGATTGAATGTACACGTATATCTTACTTGTTATTTAAGGTTAACAGCATGGTTTGGTACCACTTTCCATCTCAGAATAACTTCTCTTGTGCAAATACTACTGGCCAGTTGACATTTTGTATTCCTGAGCAAACCAAACACAAAATGTCGTAGAAGATCTTAAGGTAAACATTGCATCATCTTGAAAACATACCATAGTTTAAGTGACCATTTTGAGAATTTTATCTTAGTACATTTTTGCTCTCAAGTATCTACTGTAAAGGAAGTTTGTAGTGAAAGAGATATTAAACGCTTTGACTGCAAATAATGTGTGGATTATACTTTGTTGTGATCTGAGAAAAAATCCCGAGACTACTTACTTTAAGTGTGTGGTACAATGGTAGCTTAGCAGTAACAAGTTAAATGTTAAGTCTTGCAAACTGTCTTCTTTGGATAAAAACTGCATATTTTAGGGCTCATTTCTGCTTAAATCGGTTTTGTAAAATCTCTAGAGATGAAAAAAAAAATCTATAATACTCTCTTATCAACAATATAACATAAATAAGTAGTACTATTAACAATATTAAAATTATGATGATAATAATAATGAAGACTGCCTTGAGGTGAAAGACTTCAGTGCTCTTTCCACTGAAGAAAATTACTAGGAGTAAATGTATATGAAATGCTTATGTTAACAACGAACAAACATCTTTCTAAATACTTTATTAACCACATGATGGGTGGAAATGCTTTCTAAGCAAGTATATACTTATAACAGTAGGAAACCTTCAATGTATTCTTATTTTAATTTTTATTTATTTATCCAGAAAATAAATGCTAAGCTTCATGATGGAGTGTGTCAGCACTGCAAAGGTATCTTGGAGTGGCGGGTGAAATTCAGCAAGTACAAACTACTATCAAAACCTAAAAAATGGTGAGTTAAGATACTTTGTGTTAACCACTGATAGGGTAGTTTGTAAACTTTTTTGAAAATATTCTCATTCTGGAAACTCAGAAGTAGTAGCTACTACTATATAGCATTCTTCAAATTTGGAGTCTGCAATGACAATATATATGCACTGTTAAATTTCTAATTCATTAGTCTTTTATCTTAAACTTTTGAGACGAAAACATAGTGGAAAAGCAGCTGCTTCTCTCTTTTTGCTGGCAAAAGGCTTGAACTGTGGACCTGTAAGTTTCAAAAAACATCAGTGTGGCCTCCTGAACAAAAAGTCAAGACCTGAACCAGTTGTAACACAATTTTCCAAGGCCTCATTGCAAGTCAATACTAGAGGAATCCGCACATCTCTTAACTTCTGTAGTTCACAAAGACTATCTAGTAGAGAAATTAGGAGAGGAAGGCTTTAATTTTGTGTCATATCAAAACTCATCAGCAATGCTGTTCTCAGCATTGCTGAGGCCTAGATTCCTACAAAATGTTTGCAATACATGCATTTCATTACCTCTTAGCCTGTTCTCTCTTTCTGTATGTGAAACTATAATCCTAAATAGTAAATGTTTGGCGTTGTTTGCATACAGTTCTGTATAAGGTGGTTTTGAATAAGTGCATGATAAAGGCGATAAAGATCTTAAAATAATTTATATGTTCGTGATAGGTTAATTTTCTGAAGTGGATACTCGGCTGCTTCCTTCTTACGTGCTCAGCTGCAGAGGTCTGTGGTGGCAGACACAGACAGGGTTTCAGCAATGAAATGTTGAACTCAAAGAAACTACAGCTGGGCTGCGGTGTATGATACAGCTAGCTTTGTCACAGTAGTTCCCTCTGCATTTGTGTGTTGTTCTCAGTTATGTACTTCTGTACTTCTGAAACACTTACAAACTGCTTGAAGAGGTTCTGTAAATGTATATGTGGAGTTCCCCGAACGACGACAGTTCATGAAAAAATTTATTTTGATTTTCTGTAGGTTAAAAGGGAAGGATTGTTTGTTTATACTATATCCCCCACTTGTGACAAGTTTTCCTTTTTAATATGAAACCAAATGCAACAAATATGTTGGTTTCAGTAAACAATTTTACCCTTTCATGTAAAAAAAACAGATTAGGTAGAAGTCTCACTGGTTCTTAAAGTAAACAATCTGGGTTCTATGCACCACAGACAAAGTTGGGATTTGGCTTTTTTTAACTCTTTCTCAAATGACTATGTGCATCCTGTTTAGAAGTAATGAGCTGTAACAAATAATATGGTGGTGGATCTGGTTCCTTTGCCTCTTCTCTGCCAACCCTCGAAGGAAAAAAAGCAGGAAAAGAAGCATGTAAATCAGAGAAGCATTGGAAATAGGAAAAGTGGTGTTGTGGGACAGCTGCTTATGGCAGAATATGTGATGTTTTCTGTCATATTTTTGAAAAAGTAAATTGGGCTGCAGACCATTCTAGCTCTACAGGTGGTGATTTCTAGCCCAGCCGAAGCAGTACAATGGCTGAGTGGGCTGCTGTGCTGAAAGGACAAGGCTATGAAAATTTTCAATGGGTGAAGCTTCTTAGTGAATTAAACACATTATAGACGTTAAAAATGTGACTGTGTGGAAAAAAATGAATTCTTCACATCACAGACGATGAGAATGGGGGACTTCTCTGCACCTCAATTTATTCTTAGTGTTTTAACATCTTCAAAGTTATGATTGTTAGTACAACCACAAGTTATCCCTACTTTACTTTTATTTCAAGTATTTGATTATTACAAATTAAACTATTTTTATAAAAAAAGTCTATCCACTTTGCATTGATAGTGCCGCTGTTTGGTGTGACATGGCTGGGAAAAGCTGTAGCACTTTTTTAGTACTAATGCAACTGAACATAGAAGAAAAAAAAAAAAAAAACAAACATCCCCAAACTTAGTAGGTATTTCCAGTGACATCTAACTGAGTTTTTCTGGGAGAGAGGGAAGATCAGAAACACTAGGCAGTTCAGGCTTTGCTTTTGTCAAATGTGCCCTAGAGCAATTCTTGTGATTTTGGAGCTTCTTAAGGAATTGGATATGTGTATCTTAATAATGAAAGCTCAGCAGAGCCTAGATGAACATAGTAGGGTGGAAGGATAGTACTTAAGAATGGGATTTGAGAAAGCAAGTAAATACTCTTGTTTCACTAGATGCTAGTTAGTGCACCTCTCCTTCTAAGGCACGCAAAAACACGTGATACTTTCTTTGAGCCTGTTTGAGCCAAGTCTGCAAGTCAGAACTGTATGCTGAATCTTTCCTGACAGACCTCTGAGTGCCTGAGGAACCAAGAAAAAGTGACTTTTAGGACTGCTGCATTCCATGGGATATATAGTTCCAGGTTCTGTTCTTCAAATATACAAGGCTTTAGAAATGTCAGCTGAATGTTAAGCCACAGCATTTTAGAAATTACTTAATCTACAGAGTTTTATCATGGCTTGAAAAAGAATAGCCAAAAACCTCTACATACTTAGGTTGGGTTTATTTAGAATACAGTTCCATGCAGGCTTGTGTTCACAGAAAGCAAAGTCTAGCACTGGCTTTGTTTATACTCTGGGAAGTTCACGAGGAAGACATTGTAGTATTTTATTTGAAAGCTTTTTATCTGTGAAATGCATGCACCTTTTTATACCATATTCTTATTTTCTTTTATTGTTAAACCAGAAGAAGTTATGTAGCTTTTAAAGTAAAACTACCTACTGAAATGAATGGAAAGGTTTCTTTTGTTTCTTTAAATATAAAAATTCTTGATTTTATGTTTCTTCTTCAGTTCTTGTTTTAATTATTCTTGCTGAAAAAGTTAAAGGAGAGGGTAGACAGGTGATGATTTTAGTAGTGCCGCTTGTTAAAACACCAATTATTTCATTTGAAACTTGCCTATGGTATGTTGTTCCTCTTTTGAAGGTATGTCTATATTGTCTTTGAACACATAATGTTTAGTAAGTGTCCACAAATACTTCTTTAATCATGTTTTCTTTCTCTTCACAGTGTGAAGTGCCTCCAGAAGACTGTAAAAGATCCTTATCATATTATTTGTCGACCATGTGCTGGTAAACTAGAAGTCTGTGCTAAATGTGGAAAAGAAGAAGAAATAGTAATTCCGTAAGTAGCTCATAGGTTACATAGTTTCAGTACTGCACTGTTTCTTCCCCTTTTAATAAAGCTTTTTTGGAAATTGCCAAGATGATGTTGTGCTTTATGCAGTAATCCTGACAGGAATCAGCAGGAGTCATTACCCTCACTTTCTTCTGCTGAAACCAGGGGTGAAATGCCTACTGGTGTTAGTGGGGCTGGGCCAAAAAAAGTCTTACTTGGATAAGACAATTTATTTTAATACCAAAGGATAAATTGTATAACTTCCTTAGGAACAAAGCACTGCAAAATGGATTTCAATATAGAGCACCATAAAATATGCATAAGCCAATTTACTGTTTGCATTTTGCCTGTCATTTGATGATTCAGTTACTAGTGAACAGAAAAACTAAACAAAGGCTGATACTGACCACAGTTACCGCAATATATTTAGTGGGCCTTTGGGGTTTTTTATTCTTTTACTAGTGTTCTCTCTCTGTTGAGCATCCTGTATTAGTTTACTAGTTCGTGACAACTGGCCAGCAGTTGCTTAGTTGGTCAAACTGTTCATGTATATATTTTTTTTTCTTCACACACTCTTCTTCCGTCTTTTCCATCTTTCCTATTCAACATGAAAGTAACTTTAGGTTATTGTCCCTCTCCTCCTCCTCCTCCCCACCTCCCAACCTCTTCCATCCCCAGTAGAATATTCTGCCTTTAATCCTATTCTCGTTTAAAAGAAAAATAAATTCCAGAAGTGGGTGGTGACAACATCCTCTTGCTTTCCGCAGGATTGATAAAGGACAAGACAGAACTGAGAGTGTGAGTGCTAAAAATGGCCAAGGGAGCAGTGGATTGGAGGATGAGCTGGATTTTGATACAAACTTCAGTAGTACAGACAGTGACGACGATTCTGATGTGCTTGAAGAACGATTTAAAAGTATGAGGATTGAAAGGACAGAGATCTAAAAGGTTGCATTTATATGACAGACTATATGCAATCAAAAGTGGTAAACTAATGTTTGCCTTAAACTGCTCTGAAGACCTGATTTGACATCTAAGGTCCTTGCATATAAATGTTGGCACTGTGAATTATGACACTTGTTGGGGGGTTTGTTTAAATAAATATTTTTTTGTATTAAGAGCAGAATTTCTTGTGATAAGATTCAAAAATGGAGTTTTTAAGCATAGTTATAGTATTACGTGTAACAACTTCCTGTTTCTCTGGAATAAAGCCTCTTTGTGTAATTATTCAAAATTCAGTATTACGCAACTGTTGTATTGCCACTTGGAAGGCTACGTGAATGTCTAGAATAAATACAGAGTCTTGTCATAAAAAGGAAGAGCTAAACCAGCTGTAATAGTTTGCTGAAGGAATACTTGCGGCCTCTGTCAATGAGTTTCCAAACAGGGTCAAAATACCAAGTGGTCATTACCCTTACGCCTGTTGTTTCTTTTCTGTGCAAAAAAAAGAGGGCCTAAATGCCATCACCAGTACAGTTCATGACCAGTTAGTACTTATTTACCATATGTAAGTATGCATTCCAAATTTGTGACCTTGTTACTACCAATGTTTTGAAAAGAAAAAAAACTGAAGACTTTTCAGAATTTCTCATAACGGGTCTCACACTTTCTTTTCCTTTGACTGCAGATCTAGTGTGGTTTGCTCTGATATGAAAACACTGGTGTAATGTAGTGTTACTTGTATAGTTACTCTTCCTGATTTTCAGTTCTTTCTAGGGGTTACTTCAATGCAGATGAAGCTCTAGGAAGAACTGAATTTGCAGTTACTATCTTTTATGGGATTCAGGAAGATTTGATTTCTAATGTATTGGCTGCTATCTCTATAAATAAAGCTGAAGAAGTAATTCCTAATAGTTAATAATTAAATGGTTTAACCTGTGACAATATACTACGCCATTTTTACTAACCGCATAATAGTTACACATCTGCTTTGGTATTCTGCCTGATTTGCAGTAGTGGGCACAGGAAAGTTTGATTCCCAAACTACCTTCTTCAAATGAATTGTGAGGGACTTCAGCTCTGGGATTATTCCCCTGTCCTCCCGCCCCTCAGTGGGGCAAATACTGAAACTCTATCCTTTGGGCAGAGATAGCCACCCTGTGGCTGTTGTAGTTGACCATAACTTTAAAGCAAATCTAATTACCAAGATGTGGAGTTTGAAGACATTCAGCAGTCAATAGCTAGAAACTTCTGATTTAAAGGACAACTTTAGTATTCAGTATTGACAATAACAGGCAGCAGCAAAATTCTTCTCATCAGCCATGGAACAGTGAGCTCTTACTTTTTTTTCTTAACTGTGCTTGTCACTACACAGGAAGGCCTTAAAAATGAGCTTTTTCTCTTGTTACGTTCTAGTTATTTAGATTAGCCTTTCACTTTTGTATTGTACATTAAAACACCTTTTTATCTTTTTTAAACTGTTTGTAAGTTTGTATCTTAACATCTACAACAGCCTTTTGTAGTGATCTCTAAGGACTAGTAATCTGCTTGGTTTCTTTTTTTATTGTTGTTGTTGTTCCTTTTCTGTGCTGCCCTTCTGTTGGTGAAGAATTTGATTCTCTTAGGATTATTTTTATTTTTCTGTCCCATGTAGATCATTTGCATAGGTAGATTTTTGCCAAGTGTTTTCTGATAACCACTAGCAGTAAACTATTGAAAAACACTACTGGTCTTCTCTGTTCCCATGATGCGTCATGACTTCTGTGGCTTTTCACTGAGACAAAGTCTAAAGATTATTCAGCATTTGGCTGGTATTCTGTTTCTTTCTGGAGTTCCTTATTACATAGCTGTTTGCTAGTCCTAAAGGACTAGGACTGATGACCCAAACAACCCCTCTGCTTTCTCCACCCACTCTATAAACTTGTTGTTTATAAGCTAAACCACTAGTTTTGTGATTAAACGTACTGGTTCTTTCACTTAACTGCAATAAACCCCAAGAAATTCAGAAGTTTACAATTTGGAGAAGGGCAATGGTTTGTCTTGGAAGAGTCAACGAAGTTGAAAAGCACCAAGAGGTGCTTAGTGGCAGAACAGGAGGTTGTCTGGTGTGTTTAGGAGCGACTGGAAATTGGTCTGAAGGTCATGTTGTGTTGACAGAGTAGTCCTCCCAATAGGACAGAAGTGACATCTGACTTAGTGTGACATCACCTGTTGTCCTGCCAGTTGACATCGATAATCACAGCGTGAACAAAGAGTATCCCCTGCACACACTGCAGATGACCCGGTGGGGGGGTAGAGGGCGCTTAATAAGTAATCTGGAATTAGGTTCAGAAAGGGTCTCTCTGAAGGGGAAACAGTGAATGTCATCAAAACTTGGCTTTTGAAAGTGACATACGTATGGGAAATGTTCTTCCGCTTGGAAAAATGAGGTAATGACCTAGCCTTTTGCCCAAAGGTGAGAGGAAATCCTGAAACGGTAGGAAAACGTGTCGTGGAATGGTCAGGAGCTGTATAATGGGAAAATAAGGGGCAGGGCTCTCTTCTCAAAGTGGTGACACCAGCTGTCGGTACTGGGGACGAGTGGTGCCGCACAGGGACACATGGCAACAAAACACAAACGTTAGGGAAAGGCCTCTGATGTCACGTCGCAGAGCTAATGCTCCCTTTGGAGTTCAGGTGAGCAGTTGGTGCTACAGTTGATGAAGCTTTGCAGTGAGGGGGCACGGCTGCAGCAGTGGCTGGCTGGTGTTAGTCCAACCTCTCTGAAGGCAGCTTTTGGTTCAGGCAAGCATTCTCTCTTTGGTCCTGACTGCAGTTAAAAGATGCACCTGCTGGAAGTGATTGCTGCAACTAAAACCACGGACGGTGGTGGTTGTGAGTCAGTGTGCAAAATTGCTAAGTTGGAGTTTGGGCACGTTTGCTGTTACAGGAAAAAAGGAATTTGTGTTTTACTGAAGACACCTGTTAACAGGAATAAAAGGAACAATATAAGTTTTCTTGTTTAATTTTGAAGTTAGAATATATTTGGAATTACAGTAAGGTATTTTTCTAAGACTTTAATGGTTCTGAATTTCAAGGGAGTTTTTTTGTTAAGAACTCATTGAACAGAGCATTATGCTGGGGCAGAACCCCTTTAAGCCCGGCTCTTCAGTAAAATCATATAGACGAGAAAATAAAAAGAAAGGGAAGGAGATCAAAAATCATCAAAGGGATTTCTGATACAATCTTTAGGGTAGTTGCATATTTAGAATTTTTAAGTGAGATTTTGAAAGGTTTCTTCCTCTTCTTTCACAAAGGATAATGAATTTGTGTTTGTAAACTTCAGAAGAGGGGAAAAAATAATACCAGTATGCCTGCAGGATATTGAGATACAGTTTAAACAATCTACCTAGGATGACTGACTGGGGGTTTTGGGAATTTAACTGAACCTTGTGGGTCCTTTCTGAATACATTACTGAAGAAGAGAGTGATGGATGCTGATAATTAGTCATCTGACGAATAAAGGAGATGCAGTGATGCTGCTGACACAGTTGGATTCCTGTTAGCTGATTGTCCTTAGGAGTGTTACCAGTTCTCATTTACTGTGACTCAACACGGACAGCAATTAATTAGATAATGGGCATGCAAGATGATTCTGACTTCACAAGGGGAAATGCTTGTCATAGGCTTGAGCTGTCAGAACTTGTCACTGTTGACTTTTACAGGTTTCCGGAAAACCAAATTCCCATGCATAAGGATTTCTTAGGACAGTCTGGATTAATTGCAGTATGAGGAGAGTCCAGTATGGACACCGTGCTGCCTCCCAGCATAATTCCTTAACAATCTTCTCTGTCAAAGTTTGCAGGCGTCTCTGAGACATCCTATCAGGCAACACAGAAAGCATTGCCCAATGATTTACTTCCAGCTTTGCATCAGCTGGGCTCTTCTATTCTTGTCTCAGCTACTCATTAGTCCATATTCCTCCAAAGTGCTAAAATAATACCAGCCTCTGAAGGTCCTATAGGACTACTGGTTAATTACGAAAAGGGTGGCTTGTTTTCTCCTGATAATGGGCAGGTACTTGGACACTGAGATGCAAATCAGAGCATTAGCAAGGAAAATAGAGGAAAATACAGCAGGTCATCAAGTGTGAGCCACCTTGTAACCCTCTAGCCCTACAATTACATGTGTTTTCTTTGTTCAGGAATTCTCACAAGTAAACGGATGCTGGTAGAAAATGCAAAACTACCTCTGCTTATAGGAAGCATCATGCTGACTTACAGAGTTAATGAGGAAAGGTTTGTAAGTCGCACGGAGAGACATTCTTAACAATCAGATATTTAGGGAGCTGGTCGTGCACGCTGTCAGCATCTGTTCCACTTTCATTCTTCTGCCTACCTTTTATCTGGAAGCTGTTAAAAGACAAAACTATATATGAAAGAGGAAGTATGTGGTCTGCATGCATGCTTTCATCAGATAGAGTGAGTGTCTAAAGTAGGGTTCCTAAACCTCAAGAGTTGAAAACACACTAGCATTTGAAGTGAGGTAGATATGTCTAGGGAATGGTAACATGTTCTCAGACAAATCACCTGTAACAGACTAGAAATTAAATACTTGGCATATTTCAGGTAGCAGATATTTCTGCTGGAGCCTCTA